CCCCCCCCCCCCCCGGGCATCCCAGCCGCTGGGTGCGCAGCGCGCATGCGCAGTCCTCGGGGCCAGCCCTGGCGCACCTTTTCTCCCTCCTGCCATAATGTGAGCGTTCTGCAGCACAGATAACCGGCGACTCCCCGCTCCACCCCCGCCCTCTCCCACTCCGCCCACTCCCGAGAGCCCAGGTAAAGGGGTGAGTTGCGCATGCGCGCCGCTCTCCTTGGGTCGGGGGCGTGGTTGCTGAAAGGAAGCCAAAAGCTTGAATGGGAGGGAGCTGCGGGCAGGGGGTGTGGGATTAGGGAAAGGTAAAGTGAAGAAAGGGGGCGAAAGTTGAAAAGTGGGCCGAAGTGAGATTTGGAAGTAAAAAAAGTCTTTGGTTTTGTGGATTGTGGAATAAAGTTGAAAAATCTTGATTGCTGACCTCCATGTTAATGGAGGGCAGTGTGAGTGACAGGACTGAAATAAAAGAGAAAACATACAAGCAATAGTGGTCATTCGCCATGTGAATGTGACGGCTAGTAAAAACGGAAGCAATTTAGAGATCGCTAGGGGGGTCAAAAAAGCAGATTTAGAGCCGTGCGTGTCCTGTGGGGCAGGAATAGGGAAGGGAATGTGTGATAGAGCTGCTGCAAGAAATGAAACCTTCATCATAAGTATTAAGGCATTATGACTAATTAGCTATTAATCATTAATATAATTAATGGTACTATTAGCTAACAAGGTGGTATTTATCTAAGTTCAGAGCCAAGAGAGTGTCCATAATTGAGAGTACACAGAGGGTACTCAGAGAGGAAATGTTTTCAGATGTGAAGGCCAAGGGTAGAAAAGACCCAAGGCAGCAACTCTAAGGGTCACGATGATCACTGTAAACCAAACTTCCCTTAGGTTGTTCAGATCTTATCTTAATTGGAACTCCTTCCATTATTAAAAGCATTCTTAACTAATGTTCTTGCAGTAAGGCTGACTTCAATAGCACATAAACATTTTCAATACAGATGCAGCTACTTCTCTCCCAAATAGTACACCACACACCACCCCAAAATCCTGCAGGGAGTAAAATGACCTGAGTCTGGACAAGGTTGGGGAAGAGACTGAAACTTTTTAAATATGCAGATCCAAGAGCTGACTCTGTCCTTGACTCCTTCCAAAAACAGATGCTTGGCTTTTTACTGTACTTGGACTCCAGACTCCAGGCATCATAATTTTGGCAGCTTTCGCTCATGCTATTCAATGGTGAGTGTTTTTAGAGATAAACACTAAAAATGATATGTTTCAGCAGGTAGAGAGAAAATCTTCAGGCAAAACAGGAGGAAATAAACATAAATAATAAAAAGAGACTTAGATTCAATGTAAGAAAGAACTTGGCATCTGTGGGGGCTGGTAAGCCCGGAATGTCTGACTGAAATGTCTTGCTTTGCCTTCTTAGATGCTTGATTTATTCCCTACTGTCTGCCAGTCAGAGCTATCCTGCTTGGAAGAAGGGTGTGCAGTGTGATGGCTGAAGAACAAGGTGACCTTCCAAGTGTCTATGACTCTCCACCCACAGGCCAACTCTCTGAAGGGCTCCTAGTAATTAGAATAGTAACAATATGACCTTCCATGTGAAGAGTGCTTTATGGTTTTTTCAGGGAGGTTATGTCTATTATCTCATCAGATCTTTCAACAACCTGCAAGGCAGACAGGACAGGTATTATTCCTAAGGAAGGAAATTTCAGGCCAATGAATGTTTAAAGTCAACCAGCCCAGTAAACAATGGAGCCAGATCAGGACCCAGGTTCCCTGACTCCCAGTGTGCTGGTTTTTTAGCGGGTTTGACAGGCCCACTCTGAGAAACTGCCACATATTCTTGTGGAGTGAAAACAGGTGTCCTTGGCATGTGATGGAGAATAATTCTAATATTCAGTTCTACTTCTGCATCTACTTTTTTTTTTTTTAAAGATGACCGGTAAGGAGATCTTAACCCTTGGCTTGGTGTTGTCAGCAACACGTTTAGCCAGTGAGCGAACCGGCCATCCCTATATAGGATCCGAACCCGCGGCCTTGGTGTTATCAGCACCGCACTCTACCGAGTGAGCCACGGGCCGGCCCTTCTGCATCTCCTTTTAATTTTCTTTTTCCCCCTTCGCTCTCTCCCCAGAAGCCTGGGATTTGCCACTATGTATCTGAAGCTTTGGTGACTGGTGTTTGGAAGGACCTGGGCCTCAATGCTAGCAAGCAAGGTCCCTTTCTGGAGATTCTAGTTCGTCTGCTCTCTTTTAACTTTTCCCCGTCACCTACCTACCACCTGCTAACCAATGGCACCACTCAACAGGTCTCAAGAAGAGGGCTATTTCCAGTGTCTCCCTGTTCAGCTGCTGGCACTGCAGCTTGGTATTCAATGCAGGGAACATTTTGTACCCATATCTGGCCTTATTGGAAGAACAAGCTTCTATTCTCCTGGTTTCCTGGCTTTGGATAATTCTTCACTAACTTTTTCATTAAGTCAGTGGGAAGAAACCAGCAGAACCCATTATTTAATTAAAATTTTTTATTAAAAATTTCACTTTGAGAGTTCTTAAAACCTTAATACACTTAATTTAAACAGCAGTAGAGATATCTGGTTCCTGTAAGGTGAGCTGGATGGCCTGATACAAGCTCACTGCTCACTGCATTTCCTTGCTCCTTAAGTTTCCAGGGATGCACCCCCAGTGGATAATCATTCTTACCTCCTGTACTTACAGTAGGGCAGTGGTTGTGGCTCCCTGCTTGCCCATTAACTAATATTACCCTATCCCACAGTACCAGACTTGGAGCCTGAGTCCTGGTAAGGGCCTTTTAGGATCTCGTTCTTGACCTTTGCTCAATCATTTCACCTTTTAGGCTTTGTAAAAAGAGGGCATTATATGGTTCCTAAGGTACTATAGATCTGATACCTAGACTTCTACTCAAGAGACTTGACTATGATCATATGAGAGGTCTTCAAAAAGTTCATGGAAAGATTCATATTATCTTTTAATTCTATTTTTCTGCAAACTTTCTGAAGTACCTTTGTAATTACACTGCAACTGTATTCCTTTCCTAAGCATTACTACCCGATTCTCATCCCTAAGCCTTTCCTACAGGAAACTGTCCCTTTTACAGCATGGATGAAGTTGTCCTGGATTCCCCCTTTTTACTCTTTTTTTCTCATGTCTCTAAGTGACTGTGCCAGAGACAGCTCAGAAAGCTGGATTTTGGCTTTTTGATCGTAGGGCTTGTATGTGTATCTGCTTGCATGCATAGGTGTTTGTAAATGTCTACTTTTAAAGGTATGTGGGCCATGAGCACCTTCACTCTGTGTCCCCTCACCTCCCACCAGTTCCACTTGCATTCTAGTGAAAAGTTAAAATAAATGCCAGGATGGCCTAGAAGAAAACAAGAGTATACACTAAAAGGCCAGATATATAAGTTCAGCTGTAGAGATAAGGAGGCTATTAAGATAGCCAATGTCACTTTGGTCTAAAGTTTGGTTTTAGCTGTAGCTTGCTCCTACCCTAATACTGCCCCCTGTCCTGACAGCTGATCGCTGCAGCACAGCCTGGGACCCCACCCGGCAGCTCTGATCTCTTGTACATCAGCTTCTCTATTTAAAACATCTCAGAATTTGAATTCTGATGTCTCTGGTGTCTTTATCATAAAGATGCATTTTGTAAATTTTAAAAAACCACATTCGTTGACAATTTCTACAAATCTTTCTTCTACGTTCCTTTATTTAACCCTTTCCTCAACCCTGAGATGTAGAAAGGACAGAAAGTGGCCTTCCCACATTGTTTTTTTTTTTTCTTTTTCAGGGGGAAGCTGGCAGATACCGGGATCTCAACGAAACCTTGCCCTTGGGGTTATAATACTGCACTGTAACCAGCTGAGCAACTGGCCAGGCCTTCTACTATTTTTTTTTTTTTTAATAGCAAATAAAAATGGGGCCTGGATTTTAAGAGTCACATGGCCAGAACTAAAACCTGGGTCTCCAGGGTCCAAGTCCAGGACTTCTCTATAACATCATACTGCAGCTCTTTGCTGGATACCATACAAAGCAAAGTGAACAGATGTGGTCTCTGCCCTCTGAAAATATGGACTTAAATGAACAGCCCCGATTCCTGCAAACATAAAAGGAAAACATGGGCCGGCCCGTGGCTCACTCGGTAGAGTGTGGTGCTGATAACACCAAGGCCGCGGGTTCGGATCCTATATAGGGATGGCCGGTTTGCTCACTGGCTGAGCGTGGTGCTGACAACACCAAGCCAAGGGTTGAGATCCCCTTACTGGTCATCTTTTAAAAAAAAAAAAAGGAAAACATGATTTACTGTCCTCTCACATATGTAATAAATAAATGAGTTTAAAAGATAAAGAAAGGCATGTTTACCTGGTCTACTAATGTTCTTATAATTCCAGTTAGGTAGAGAGAACCATGTTAACAAGACAGGTTTGGGGCCAGTCTCATCTTTGCCTACTTGCTGTGCACATGGAAAAATATTTGTAACTGCACTACAAACTCTTTTCTCCCTTGTCTTCAGCCTTCTATAAACCTTTCCTAAGCATCTACCAAGTATAACACAAAACGGGAATCAAGGACCATTAAGAAATCTTATCTGTCCTCAAGAAACATCTTCAACCATTTACCTAATTCAAACCACTGTGTAATAAATAAATATATATACAAACAAACAGGAGGGGGAAAAAGACACAACAATCACAATTATTCCTTGAATTGCTTAAGTGAACAGATATGATGTTGATGGGGGAGGGGGGAAAAGGGAGGAGGGGGGGAAAAGGGAGGAGGGGAAAGGAGGAATTGGTAAAGGAATACAAAAATTAAGTACATTGTATATTGATTAAAACAAAAACAAAAACAGGGCCGCCCGTGGCTCACTTGGGAGAGCGTGGTGCTGTCAACACCAAGTCAAGGGTTAAGATCCCTTTACCGGTCATCTTTTATTTATTTATTTATTTTTAAAAGATGACCGGTAAGGGGATCTTAACCCTTGACTTGGTGTTGACAGCCCCACGCTCTCCCAAGTGAGCCACGGGCGGCCCTGTTTTTGTTTTTGTTTTAATCAATATACAATGTACTTAATTTTTGTATTCCTTTACCAATTCCTCCTTTCCCCTCCTCCCTTTTCCCCCCCTCCTCCCTTTTCCCCCCC